GCTTGGCACACAAAATCTCTCCTGACTGACATCTGCTGCCTGAGCAAAAGCAGAGGTATATGCCTATTTGCCAGTGCCTGTTATTGGCATATCATAGGGCACAGGTTGGAGGAAGGTGGAGTGGGGCTTGTTCGAAATGAAAATTAAATGAATAATCATTTTAGAAACAAATTGGAGACAGGTTTGAACAAAATCCTAGATTCAAACACCCCAATTCTGGACAGGTTCTGAATGTGAACCCAGTCCCAACATTTTCAATTCAGTATAGTTTAGTGTGCTTTATTGTAACAACAGAACTTCTCTAGAAAAACTTCAGGTTCAGCTTTACGTCTAACAAAGCACCCAATATGTATAGCTACTATTTCACAGCATGTATCCTTGCCCTATCTTATTTCTTACATAATGTACTTGCATTAAAGGGTCTGTGGCAAATTTGTCCAGTGCTTATGTGATAATTTCTTTGAACTGTGTGAATGAAGCTCTTATTTTTTCAGAGTATCTGTCTGTCCAAAAACATATTTTAACATACTGTCACCACAAAACTAGATGACAGAATGTATATACTCCCTTAAAATGTTTACTTGACCATAATAAAAGGTTTTATGAATTTCCCAAGTGAACTAAGTTTCGATACCTATTATAATGTGAAAATTTAAACACACTTTCAACTTGGCTTTCACTCATTTATCATGGTTGACACAACAGTCAAAAGTTCCTTTTTTAATCACTAAAGCTGAAAAAATGCAATTTTTTTCTTTGCAGAAGCAGAAAGAAAGAAAGATTCAAAATAAAGTATCTACATTAGTTTATATAACTTATATATACTAACTTCACATCCATCTGAAATTAATTGCTTTTTATAATTGAGAGTATAACTTTCTAACAAATCTCCAGAGATTTGTACTAAAAAAGGAATCCCTTTTTCCCAAAGCATTTTACCAGCTAGACCGTAGTCTAAATAAAGTGACGGAGGCAGACTTTCTCTTACAAAAGAGGGTTGGTATGTGTGTGTATGTACATCAGGGAATTGGTCATGGCTTTCAGGCTCCACATTACTTAGAGATGTTCCCAGTGGCATAGGGCACTTAATGGCCCCTACAACAGTAAAGATGTGGCATAGCAGTAACACAGCTCCCCCATGGCTCTCTTGTCCTTTACCAGAAGTGCAAGTAGGAGACACATATGGTCTAGCAGCAGTGCAGATATCTGAACAGGAGTTTCCTGCATACCAGAAGAGTTATCTGATTCTTGTTCCATAAAAGAGATGTATTTATGGTACAGATTTGGCCCAATGATTACTCATTGACTTTAGTGGGAATAAGACTGGACCACTTTTTTTTCTTTGCAATGCACTTTTAACTTTTTATTACGTGTACTATTCAAAATGAACTTAGTTTTGAAAATAGTTTTGAATACAGAACCAAATTTTGTGTTTATCTACATGGAATAATGCCTTTGACTTAACACAGGTGTGCCAGAGTTACATGGATATTATTGAGATCACAGTTAGGTCCTAAATTCCGGACATAAATATGGCCTTTAATTAAAATTAATAAAACAAAAAGAAAATGGGCATAATTATAGAATTTGAAGGGTACTAAATAGTTTAAATTAACACAGCGGTGAGGAACCTCAGGCTTGGTGGTTGTGGCTTGCCTGGTTCCGGCCTCTGAGGCTCAGGGCCCCTCCTGCACTGGGGAGCCTGTGTGGGTGCTCCAGACTTCTGTTGCTCCACCATGGGGCTGGAGTACACAAAATCTACTTGACTGGTGCCCCTAGGCTCTGGTGTGTGAGGGGAACATGGAGAGTGTCTTTCTCCCTCTCAGTCAGGCACCATGTCAGTGAGGGGTTTTTGTGTGCTGCACCTGACTGATTTTTCCGTGGGTCCATGGCCCCCAACCCAAAAAAGGTACCCTAGCCCTGAATTAAACAGATGAATATCTTTAGTCTGAAAATTTTCTATAATTCTTAAAATATATTTGCAATGCAGTAGAGCATATTATTAAAAATAACAACAAAAATAAAAACAAGCAAAAAGTTCACATTCTCTAACTATTGAAAGCATCTAACAGTTAATACTGTGTCATCTTAATGGGACACATTTTCTTCCCCAGGCTATAACATTACACGCTCAGTAATGCAGTCTGAGGGTGGTCCTTTTAAGATGAATGTGGCAACACTCTGATATATTTATTCAAAGGAAAATCTATTTCATTGCCTAATTAGATGTCTTTAAAAGATTTAGTCTGATAGTTTCTTGGGAAGCTCACTGTCTCGTAGGGAACTGATTTTGTCTACACAGATGTTATCCAACACCTGCATTTTTGTTTATGTAAGCTTTCACAAATCTACACAGCTTTTCTCTCATTTATGATATGCTTAAAATTATAATGCAGTGACAAATGATGAAACTCTTTAATTAGGAAAGTTCTAAATGAATATTTGAAAGGTACGTTTCATAGCTGAAAGTTTTTAAAGACAAATTGCCTCCTGGCCAATCTTGATTTTCCTATACATAGCTATAGCAATAAAAGCTAGGCTAGAAGGGTAGATTCTTAGGCTCTGATCCAGGAATCAGCTGTCAAAAAACCTAAATCTGAGTTATGAAAAGGATTCACCTTCTCTTTCTTGCTGAATGAATGATAATCTACTTTACCCTTGCCAACACAGGCACTAGTTACTGATATTTCATTTAGACTTGAATATCTCCATTTTCATTCTATGTGACAGGGAGGGAAGAAAGTGTTCTCTGTATGCTATTCATCAACATGGAATCCATAAATATGAAATAGTGGCAGTATCTGCAGGAGAATTGGCTGAAAATTCATAAATTCCAATGTAAGTGGTAGGGAAATGTCACTTCCTTGATTTACTCTATGAAGATAAAATCCTTAACACAGGGTGTATACTTTACACCTTCAATTAAGCAGTTGGGTACTTCACCAAGTAGTGAACAAGGACACCACTGTTTGATGTCATAGTGTGGAAGACAGCATTGACACAAATTGCTCTGGGGCCATAAACATTGCTACATTCACATTCTGAGATAATCCACCTTACAGTCACCTGAAAGGAAGGACAAGGAAGGGCTGCACATTGGGATTAACAATTCCTTCCTGAATTCCACAATGCTAAACTTGTAAGCACCACATCATACTGTAGGTGGTAAAGAATATGAGCCAATTTGTGTGCTGGATGATGAAAGGTATCCCTCTTTTTGCACACAATGGATAATCAGACTCCTTGCATTCTGAGGCAATGAGAAGTCATGAAGTCATGTGCCCACAGCACCAGCCAATAGAACATGCCAGGTGTAATTTTTCACTTCACTTTGATCTCTCTTCTATGTATACATTCTATTGCCTCTTATAGTTAAGACTGACGGGTGACATCAATAGATAAGAGAGATGGCCATCTGAAAATATAGTATATGCTATAGTTACAATGTCACAGACCTAAACATAGTCTGGACATTAGTGTTATACAAGTGAGGCCAGCTTTTAACATCTGAATAGACTTCCTCCAGGCTTGACATACCCGGTTCAGGAAACACAATTCCAGGACCTTTATTTGTTAGCCAAAAGAGGAAAGCGCTACTTCATGGACTGAACAACTGTCTACTGAGTTCATCTTTACAACAAACATATATTATTGTTACTGAAAGGCTACTGGGGAGTCTTTACATCAGCCCACATCATCGGTTTCTTGAGAGTGAATTCCCTAAGGTGCCATACTCATGTTGGTCTAATGAGAACATACTTATCTCCACTTGGAACTCCTTTCCCCTGACTGACCTATTTCTCTTCTCAGCCCAACAGCTTAACTATATATTGAAAAACTACATTTTGGCGTTTTGAGCCTTTTTGTTCCCAGCTGCTATAATCTTCTTTTGGGTGAGAAAGAAAAAAAAAAGATGTCATAATGTAAAAGAGATAATGGCTGATCCAACAGGGATAGGGGAGACACTCTGCAACCATGGTCAAACTCACCAGCCCACAATCTGGTTGGAGTGCAGGATCAAGGGCTATATTAGAGAAGAAGCTCTATCAAAGGATCTCTCGCTCCAAAGAAGGGGGATTTCATCCAGGGCAGAGCACGAAGCAAATGTCCCCCAAATTCCCTGTGTTACGGATAGGAACCTACCAAAGTCAGACCATTTTGATCATTTTTGTGGTCATAGGATTTTAAAAGTAATAAATGCGTGATATCAGATATTTAAATCTGAAATGTCACAGTATTGTAATGGTAGAGGTCCTGACCCAAAAAGAAATGGGGGGGGGGAGTGTCACAAGATTATTGTAAGAGTTGTGATACTGCCACCCTCACTTCTGAGCTGCTGCTGGTGCTGCCTTTAGAGCTGGGCAGCTGGAGACTGGTGGCTGTTGGCCCAGTTCTGATGGCAGCATCTTGCTGGCAGCAGCACAGAAGTAAGGAAGGCATGGTATGGTACTGTATTGCCACTTTACTTCTGCACTGCTGCCTTTAGTGCTGGGCACCTGGCCAACAGCCACCATTCTCCAGCTGCCCAGCTCTGAAGGCAGCACCGAAGGGTGACAACTCCACGATTCCCCTAAAATAGTTTTGTAATCCTCCCTGCAACTCCCTTTTTGGGTCAGGGCTCCAGTGTGAGGGACACTGGTCTTCCCCCATTAAATCTGTATAGTACAGGGTAAAAGCACTCCAAACACTAGATTTCGTTGAGAGGCAGACCAGATTTCAATGTCCATGATGCATTTTTCACCATCCTGAATATGGAAGGATCCAGCTATGAGACTTGGATAGGTGTTCTGAGATTGGCTGATTCAAAGCCTCTCTCATTATTTATTTTGCTAAATTCCTCCATATTTGTGTGGAGACATTTTTAGTTATTGCCCTTTGTCCAAATTTTTAAAAATAGTGTATTTATATTCTACAAAGAAGATAGAAAGTTAAGAGATACAAGACAGCTCAAAACCATTCAGCAGAATTGTATGACCATACATTGCAGAATTGGGGGTTACCTCTGGATTTTCTTCCATGAATATATGTCTTTCCACGGACTTGCCATGTTGGTCTGTACAGGTCTTCCAAGTCCAGTTGCCACCTATCTGGTTCTAGATACCGGATAAGTTCTTCTACAGTACTAAATCCAGCAACAGCATTGTTTAGTAAATCTAATGGTAAAGCTGATGGGGGTAATGTAGATGGGCTGGCAGCTTCTGTATGGTGCTGCAATAAAAACAGAGAACAGTATCAGTAAAATATATAATATAATTGCTTAAATCCAACCATGCACTTTACGAGGCTGGATGAACTTGGCAGTGGAGATTATAAAAGTAACTAACTGTTTAACCAATTTACTGAATAAGATGAATGATAATCCAAGGAGAACCTAAACATTACTCCCATTTGAAATGCTCATTTAATTAGACTTTTTTTCTTCTTATTTTCTTAGCTTTTAGGATGACATACTACTATACCTCTTTTCTGGAGAAGTTCATTAAATGATGGATGATATGTCAGAAATAAATAGAGCAAATGGAGCACTAAACCTTTGATGGAAAAATATAGATGCATTACACACAATTACTCCCTCCTGAAATCTTAGGAAACTCACATTTCTCATGCTGCCTGTAGCATGAGGATTAACTGGCCTTTTGTGGAGTTTGTTGTTGTAGAGTCAAATATGAAACTATTCTATTGTAACAAGAGTAGAAAATCCAGCTCTCCCTATCAATGAAAAAGGGACAGTATATTCAGTGAAGTGCCAAACATAGTGTTGCTTCTAACCACATAATTCAGAAGGGTAATAGCAGCACAGTAGACTATCTTCACAGATTAACAGTGCTATATAACAGCGAGGTATTATTTAATCGGAAATGCCCTCTTGACATTGCACACTAAACAAAACTTCTTTAAAATGTTGAAAATTACTCCAAAAATTTGCTGCTATTGTAGCAGTGTTTCATTCACTAAGTGAACTAACATGTGAACACTCTCCAGGAGAACGGGCACTAAATTAACTGAGGGGGAAAGGCAATGAGTGGAAGTAGTCGTCATGCCTTCCATAATGTTTGATTCAATTACATTTTTTCCATACATTTTTCAAGATATACCACAAGAATGGCTGTCCTTACTTTATCTGTACCTTTTTCTGACAAACTTTTTCTGACAATATTTTAACAGCATACTCTCATTTGTGATGCATATACAAGGCCTGATTCACCAGTGTGTTACGCTAGTTTTATACTCGCGTAACCCCAATGAAATCATACAATTTTTTCAGTGTAAAACTGGAGTAAGAAACTGGTGAATTCAATCCATATTGCTTCATTGCAAAATGGATCAAGTACTTTAAACACAAAAGTTGGCATCACTTTTCACTAGTCTCACTTTAGCAAAACAAAATAAACATTGTTAAAATATAGCAAAATTGACAACTGATGATTTACATGTCGATGAGCATCAGTTACAATTTTAACATCATTTGTTGAAAACAATTAAGTTTAATAAAATTGCATAAATTATTGTAAAACATTTGAGTACCTATTCCATAATTAGGGAGGTACGTGACTAATCAACTATCCGATATGCATAAGCTTATCAGATAGTCAAGTAATGACTTGTCTAGTTGTTTTCCCCCCCTTGCTGCCTCTGATAGAAGGAAGAGGAGCAGGAGCTGGTGCTGGGAGAAGCCAGTTTAAAAGCCAGTACCCCCCAGCACCATCTCCATAGCACCATCTCCACAGGGGAAATGACGTGAACAGGGATTGAAGCACTCCCCACTTGCACTTCCTCAAGGGGCTCTTGCTACATTTCAAAGGCTGAAGCACCACAGTGGGAATACTGGGCAAGTAGAACTGCTTGAGTCCTCACTTGCCCCTTGCTGCCTCTATGAGAGTCAGCAAATGGGGTGGGGTGGGAACACAAGCCTGTGCTAGGGGGAACCAGCTTAAACGACAGTTCTCCCTAGCACCAGCTCCAGGGTGCAGCCTGCCCCCACCCCTGCTGCCTCTAACAATGGCCGCAGGAGGAGATAGGGAAAGCTGCTGCCAAGCAGCCCCTAAACCCAGGGGTATCAGCGGGTAGTTGGCCCAAACCCCACCCCTCCACGGATAGGGGCTACTGCTGTCTCTACGCCCGCTGCAGCTGCCTCTATGCTGGCTGCAGCTCTGCAAAGTAGTCATACTAATCGTATACGACTTTGCAAATTAAAGTCCCTATTGCAGAACTGCAATTGTCTTTAAAGATGTGAATACTGTAATTGATATTTACCATATAACTTCCCACTAAGTCTCAATTACATGAATAGTTAAATAATTTATGATAATTAGAACGTCACTCTATATTAAAACATCTAATACTTGTTTATTTTTCATTTAAGCACTATGGGCAGAACCTCAAGAGTAGCAATAAATAGAAATCTTTGCTTTGGCTACTCCTCTCATAGTAACATGTTAGAAATGGCTCCTTTAACTTGTTAATGACAAGAATTCACTACTATTTCAAAGCTTTTATTAGAATTATATCAGGAGAAGTGTCATGAATTCTGAATACAGAAGAGGTTACTCTCCTTTTTATGAGAGAAATGAACTGGAAAAAGATATTGTATCCTAACTTATTTACAAGTACAGGCAGTCCCCGGGTTACGCACAAGATAGGGACTGTAGGTTTGTTCTTAAGTTGAATTTGTATGTAAGTCGGAACTGGCGTCCAGATTCAGCCGCTGTTGAAACTGACCAGCAGCGGCTGAATCGGACACGCCTGGGGCAGAGCAGCTGGGGTGCTGCTGGGTTGGTCCCACAGCGCCGCTCCTCGGCGCTACTGGACCAACCTGGCAGCACCCCAGCTGCTCTGCCCCAGGCGTCCTGATTCAGCCACTGCTGGTCAGTTTCAGCCACTGCTT